GTAGAAGTGCCTCCTGCTCCAGGCTCTGTCCCTGATCAACTGCCTGGGCTTTGGCTCCTGCTTTGGCCAGGCTTGCTGCTTTTCTAGATTGTTCTGCATTTCTCGCTGCTCTCATTTCAACCTTCTCTCCAGGACTCTATTTATGCCCTGCTGGCCTCCATCCTCTGGAAGGCCTCAAAAGAGTTGCTGCTCTCCAGGTATCAGCCAGACTGGAAAGGGCCATGTGGAAAGGGAGCCTTAGAACAGCCAAGGTTTTGCTTGTAGAAGGGAGGTGGCTGCTCCCAGGATGGCTTAACTCTTTCCTACTTGTCCTGGACACTTGGAGGTTGGGTGGTGAGACAATGGCCCAGGTTGCCCAGAGAAGCTGTGGCTGCCCCATCCCTGGCAGTGTTGAAGGGCAGGTTGGATGGGGCTTGGAGCAACCTGGGCTGGTGGGAGGTGTCCCTGCCCATGCAGGGGGTTGGAACTGGATGAGCTTTAAGGTCCCTTCCAACCCAAACCATTCCATGATTCTATTGATTTTTCCCTCTCCAACAAGTTGTCTCCTATGGTACAACTGCTATGATAGGAAGAAGCTGTGGCTGCCCCATCCCTGGCAGTGTTGAAGGGCAGGTTGGATGGGGCTTGGAGCAACCTGGGCTGGTGGGAGGTGTCCCTGCCCATGCAGGGGGTTGGAACTGGATGAGCTTTAGGGTCTCTTCCAACCCAGATTGGTCAGTCAGGATTCTGTTATTCTGTCACCTATGCTGTCCTGAAGGGAGGGATGAGCTGCTGGGAGCTGCAGGAGGAGCAGTGATGGGCTCTGCAGAAGCTGATGAGCAGCTCTTAGGGCTGCAGCTGCCCTGAGGAGCCAGGGGCTGGGAGATCCAGAGTCCTTTAGCTTGTGTTGAACTGTTCTGGTATGGAGCAGTAAAACAGAAGCCCTGGGCTGGAGTGCTCCTGCACTGAAGGAGCAGACAGAATCTGTCAGCTCTGAGGAGTGTCCTTCTTCTTACCTGCTTCTGGTAGTCATACCTGAGAAGTGTCATCAAAATAAAAGCTGTTCAGAGGAGCCACAAAGACTAGTCCAGGTATGGTTTGTTCACCCAGGGCTGAGGAGCTCAGTGACTGGGGGCTGTGAGGAGTCTCCCAGGGATGGTGTAAGGACCATCTCCCAGTACTGTCCAGCTTCTCCCCCTGTGCTGGGGACCTGGCAGAGGTGCTCTCCAGTCTGCTGCTCTTGGGCAGCCCTAGGACTTGTGGGGTTTGAGGTTGCTGTGAGGTAGCTATTATGACTTGAGAAAACGTGTTGTGTTTGTTTGCCAGCTGGGACTGGTGCCAGTCCCACCATCTGCGGTGGCTTCATGGTGTCTGGGGAGTTTTGAAATGGGAAACGTTGGTCTCTATGGCCTGAGCAAGCATGTGTACAGGAATGTGTGAGCTGGACCCAGGCAACCACATGGTTGTGTTTATGGCTTGTTTTGTTGTTTTTTCCCCCCCTCCAACATGTCTGCAGCCAAAGGGGTGAGATGCTTGTACCAGCGTTTGGGTGGTGGTGGCACAGGGGTGGCAGCAGGCTGGGTTACCCTGAGCTGGG